CTCTCTCTCTCTTTCTTCCTCTGTCTGTCTGTCTGTCTCTCTCTCTCCCTTCTCCTCCTCTCTCTCTCTACCCCCCCTCTCTCTCTCTCGCTCGCTCTCTCGTTCTCTCTCTTTCCCTCCCCCCCCCTTCTCTCTCTCTCTCCCCCTCTCTCTCATTCTCTTTGTCCCTCTGTCTCTCTCTCTCTCTCTTCCTTCCCCCCCTCGCTCTTTCTTTTTCTCCCTCTCTCTCTCTCCCTTCCCCTCCCCCCTCTCTCTCTCTCTCTCCCTCCCCCGCCCCTCTCTCTCTCTCACTCGCTCTCTCTCTTTCTCTCTCCCTCTCTCTCTCTCTCTTTCTCTCCCTCCCCTCTCTCTCTCTCTCTGTCTCCCTCTCCTTCTCTCTCTCTCTCTCTCCTTCTCTTTCTCCCTCTCTCTCTCTCTCCCCCCTCTCTTTCTCTCTCTCTCTCGCTCTCTTTCTCTGTCTCTCTCTCTCACTCTCTCCTTCTGTTTCTCCCTCTCTCTCTCTCTCTTTCTCTCTCCCCCTCTCTCTTTCTCTCTCTGTCTCTCTCTCTCTCTCAATCTCTCTTTATCTCTCAAAAACATGTTTATATAACGTATCAAGATGTTGACAGAATGATATAGATAGAAATATAATGATAAACAAAGATAGAGATAGCGAGAGACAAAGTGAGCGAGGCAAATAGAGAGAGGCAGATAATTAGAGGACTAGCGGCGTGCGCCCTTCGACGCACCTCCCTTGGGCGTCCTCAACGCGGGCACCATGTGGCTCAGACGTCCCAGAAAGCGGTGTCGATTCCTTCTTCTGGCGTCCTCTGGGTCTCCCTTCTCCTCCAGGAACGTCCCCCCTTCGTCAGCACCTTTTTCTGTCCCTCCTCCTTCGCCGCTACACACCCCGCCGCCCCCACCGCCTCCGCCGCTGCCGCCGCTACCGCTACCGCTCCCCGCCCTCACGCCGCCGCTGTGCCAGTGGCGGTGGAGCTTCACGGAGAACACGACGCCCACCACCACTGCGGTCAAGGAATTAAACTGCTATTAAGTATTGTGGAAAAAGATTAATGATGAATTAAACTGATTATAAATATTGTGGGAAAAAAAATATAATCTCATTCATAATCGGCAAATATAAAATCACGATTACAGGAAAGAACAAAAATCAAAAAGGAATATCCGAGCCATTCCGACGCGCGACTCACCCACAAAGATCACAGACAGAGTGAGGGCCACGATGGCCACTGGCCCCGTGAGAGGGTAGGCTGCGGAATCCACCTTGGCCCACTGGCAGTAGTCGCCCGCGTGGCCCGGGCCGCACACGCACAGGAAGCCGGGCCGCAGGTTCTGGCAGGAGCCTCCGTGCAAGCAGGGCCGCCACGCGCACTCGTCCACATCCTGGCACGTGCGGCCCACCAGCTGTCGGCCCGGGCCACAACTGGGGGGGGGGGGGAGGGGGCGCTATTAGGAGCAGAATGCTGGAGGTGCTGCTGATGATGATATTGATACTAATAATAATGATAATAACAATAAAAATAATGTCTGTGCGCGCGCGTGTGTGTGTGTGTGTGCATGTGTGTGTGTGTGTGTGTGTGTGTGTGTGTGTGTGTGTGTGTATGTATGCGTGTGTGCGTGTGAGCGTGGTGTGCGTGCTTGCATGCATACATGATTATTTTTGTGTGTGTGCGTATATACGTATTAGGAGGCAAGAAAGACCCCTCCATCATCTCGGGCGGAGAGCCTCCTCCTCCCCCCCGCCGCCCGCCGCCTGCAGCTCCTCCGCATCCGCCGCCGCGGGCGAGAGTGGATGCATTGCCTAGGCCGCGTGCGTCCTCCAGGCGGCCCGCACTTCGCGCCTGGCTGGCCCCCTTTCACGCGCCGGCCTGCGGCGAGTGCTGGAAACGGGAGGCAGGCGAGGCGCGCAACTTAACACTGACAATTAACAAAAAACTTGATGCTTCTACATTAAGCTCTTCACACCAGCCTCCAGGCTTTCCGGGAAATTCGCACATTCACTCGTATATACGTGTACACACACACACACACACACACACACACACACACACACACACACACACACACACATATACATCCAGGCAGCCCCCCCCCCATTTTCTCAGCCACCCACTTCGCCACCAACCACGCCCACACACAAACCCACCTGCACGAGGCCCGCCCCCAGCTGGAGAAGCAGGAGAGGGGGGTCGGGCAGCTGGTGGTGTTGGCGCAAGCATCGGCAGCTGGGCACCCGACCTCCAGCTGGTGCACGGCTGTCACTCTCGCCCACGATGTCACGTTTACGGCCGGAGGCAGCGGGAGTGGGCGGCCAGCCACTCTCACGTCGTCAATGCAGGCTGTGGGTAGAAAAAGGGCGTGTGATAGGTGTGGGTGGTGAGTCGTGACGGGCCTGGGTTGGAATAGTGGGCTGGAGGAGTGTGGAGGAGGGGGAGTGATGGTCGTGGGTGATGTTAGTGTGAGTGCCGAGGGATAAAGTCCCCCTATCCAGACCAGATCCATCTCTTGTGTCAATTTATGGGAAAGTTAAGGGTAACAGAATTGATCAAATCTTATGCATTCATCCTATATCAACAACTATCTCTCAAAAAAATTGCCTTGAATCGAACTATCATATGATATAAAGACCCAATATACAGCGGGGACTATAACCAACCCTGTGTAATGTAACTCATCGAGTCAATGTATCCGCTATCTGGGAAAATAAGACATTTTTAAAGTTCGCTTCTTTACAATACGACGAAAAAAATGTACAAAAATGTAAAATCTAAGAAAAGAGGCAGAAGAGGAGAGGAGTTATAAAAACTTATTTCAGAAGAACGAGGCAGGGAGAGGGAGAGAGAGAGAGAGAGAGAGAGAGAGAGAGAGAGAGAGAGAGAGAGAGAGAGAGAGAGAGAGAGAGAGAGAGAGAGAGAGAGAGAGAGAGAGAGAGGAAAAAAATGGTCGATGCATCAAAACAGCTTGTGGTTGCTAAGGCCGACATCAACGGAGAGATGAAGCTTCTGTGGCGGATATTTGTAATAATGATGTGTTTCCTTACCTGTCTATTGTTTTTTAAAGAAAAGTGTCCAGATACTGAGGATAAAGTTTCATTAATCTATATGTTTGTCCCGGATGTCTTCTCTCTCCATCCTGCCCTCGCCTCGTCCTTCCCTTGGACGTGAATGTTCTATTTTGCCTTTTTTGTCTTCATATCTTGCTACTCTTTTCTAGTGGATTTTTTTTTCTCCGTGTTCATCCTGACGTTTCTCCTACATCTCTTTCTTTCTTTCACTCTTTCCTTTCCTCTTCCTCCATTTTCGGTTTTTATCACTCTTTTCTCCGCCCACCTTTCTTGTCCTTCCGCTCCAATTCTTCCTCCATTTCTTACTCTTCTTCCTCCCTCCCTCTTCTCTACCTCCTTCCTACCTCTCTCCCTATCCTCTCTTAATCCAATACAGTATGGAGGAGGAACAACACTATTCCAATCAGCTTAAAACACCTTGTATTTTCTTTAATACCGCCATTGCATTATATTAACGTCGTATAGCTTTTATTAGGTCCTATGGATAAAAAGTAATGATTTTTTTTAGATATCCTTTTGCGAACCATTTGGGGGTGTACAGGAAATACTTGAAATAACATAATACATAATATTTTTTTTCTTCTATTTTTTTTTGGAATATATGCCAATAAAGTATGGCTAATTCCGATTCAGTCTTATAATCAATATATCACTCAAAAGAAATGATCAGTATCAATATTTTAAGTGGTATCTTTTACAATGTGAAGGAATAAAATATAATCTGTGCCCATAGAGAATGGTCTCATTTTTTCCTTGGAATACTAAAACAGACAACAGTAGCTCCATTTACTACCGGGTTACAGTTATGGGAACCAAAGTGATCTCATGAAGCAAGTGGTATGTTTTAAAGCCACATTTTGTAGGTATGCTGCATGTTAGAACCTCCTAATTAATCAATTATAATCAAAAGGGTTAACTGGGCAAGAGGCAGACTATTTTTCAAAGTTTATCCATTGTTGTGTTTGCTTTTCGTTCTGATTAAAAATAAATCTTAATCTAGCTTATTTATGCTAATTCTACTTATGCGCACTTTATTTTCTACTTCTTGAAAATAAACACATCAAAATCCATGTATGGATAACAAACATACCTACTGCGGTTAACTCTATTCTTTCTAAAGTTTCTTTTCATTTTCATTCTAACACACCTCACTTTTCCTTTTTTTTTTTTTTTTTTTATAACTGTAGCAGATCACTACGTATTTCACTAGTATTAGTATATCTGGTTAAATTTCTTTAACTTTTTACTATAGTGCCTAATTACTTGCTGTGGTTATATCTTCATCTTATTGTGACATTGGATATTCTGACTCTGCTTTACTATTTCTTTGTATTACGTTTAAGGATTTACACTGGTAAAGCTTACACGAGGTTTTACTGTCTCGTCTGCACTGGTAACGAGCAAGATTGTACGAGTGTGGGAAGTGCTGACAGTTTTGCCTCTCGAATCGCGACACAGGTGCGACACGTAAAAAAATAGAAGAAAAGGAAGAAAAATCTTACTCGATTTAGTTATTAGAAAAAAAAAGTTCAGTGTGAAAACACAAACGAATCAGAACCCACCTGCCGATTCGATTTTTCGATTTTTTTTTTAACTGCCACTTCAGTTTTTACCTTTTAAACACTTTAGATTTTACTCTAATTCTTGCTGTTTTACTTTACCCTTTTTTCCTTGCTCTGTTGTTTTACACTTTTATTGGTTACTTCAGCTGCTATCATCCCTTGCTCTTCTGTCGTTATCCATTTCTCATTATCTTTGTCTTTTACTTTGTAGGCTTTTTTCCCTGATGTAAAGCCCTTCTAACTCCTTCTCCAGAGATCATAAGCCCTTCTGCATCTTCTACAGTCATGTTAAGTACTTGTAGCACCTCCTTCATGCTACCAAGGCTTTTGAAAACGTGGTTTAATGTCTTTAATGTATCTTCTACGCCGATTCCCAACTTTTCTGGCAATTCTTAAATTCCTTTGAAGTTCTTTAAAAAGATAATGCCTGATTTGTTTGGGTTTAGGATTTATTTTCTTTTACTGTAGATAGATAGGTAGGTAGGATATCTCTCTCTCTCTCACTCTTTCCTCCCCCCTTTCTCTCTCTCCCTCTTTCTCCTCCCCCCTCTCTCTCTTTCTCCTCTCTCCTCCCTCTCTCTCTCTCAATAAATGCTGTAACACGGGTAAACAAACACTGGATGATCCAAGTAAAGGCACAAAGAGAGAGGATAAACTAATATCACAGTTGATGGACTAGAATAGATCCTGATTTAGCCGCAGGATGAGCTGAGAGGATAAATATATGTGAATATCATTTGAATATGCGTAACACATGAATAATAAAAGATATTTTGAATATTGAGTATCATTATTTTGACAGGATTTTAATTTAGTGCAACATACTCGACATCCAGGAAGTTATATGCAGGCCCCGACCCTCGCATGCAGGCCCAGAGTTTGTAATGAAATATAATTGCAATTTCGGTTTTTAACCCTCACCCCCTTGACAGTGTGTGTTACATGATAAAAAGTAGGTTCCATAACCGTATACCATTTGGACACCGATATATCAGATTCAGTTTACAATTATTATACACTAATAGGTATACAGCACAATGGGACTATGGAAGTATTCAGTAGGGGTGCTCTCTCTCGCACTTACTCTCTCTCTCACACACACTCTCTCTCTCTCTCTTTCTATATATATATATATATATATATATATATATATATATATATATATATATATATATATATATATATATATGCCACTCACTCACTCAATCCCTCTTACGCTCTCTCTCTCTCTCTCAGAGACACATTCTCTCTCTATCTCTGTCACTCACTCATTTATTCTCTCTTTCGCTCTTTCTCCGCCAGTCACTCTTTCTGGTTCCTTTGAACACATGCGACTTTCATTAAGCGATAACAAATTAAATCACGATCAGTCTTTGAATCAACGATTCACTAGTTGCATTTTCTTGTCGTTGATCACGCATCCCACCACATACATGCATATATATACATGTGTGTGTGTGTGCAAATATATGTATGTATGTGCGTATATATCTATGTATCATGTCTGCTACTTCAGTTTTTACCTTTTAAACACTGACTACTCAGGTTCTTTCCACTTTATGTCACCCTTTTTCCTTGCCTTTTTTTTACACTTTTATTGGTTACTTCCTTTTTTATCATCCCTTCCTCTTTGTCATAATCCATTTCTTATTACCTTTGTCTTTTTATTTCCCCACATGTTTAGTTTAGTTAACATGTTGCAATGTTGGCTCTTCTTGTTGATATAAAGCCCCTCTAACTCCTTCTCCAGAGATCGTAAGCTCCTTCTGCCACTTTTACAGTTATGTCAAGCAATTGTAGCACCTCCTTCATGCTATCGGGGCATTTGAAAGCGTTATACTAGTTAATGTCCTTAAGGCATCTTCTACGGAGATTCCCAGACATGAGAATTCTTAAATTCCTTGGAAGTTCTTTAGTGTAAATGTACTGTATGTTTTTAAAGAGATAATTCCTGTTTGTTTTCGATTAGAATCTATTTCCTTCTAGATGGAGAGATCGGTAGGTAAGGATCTCTCTTTCTCCTCCCCGCACTCTCTCTCTTCCTCCTCCCTCCTCTCTCTTTCTCTCTCTCCCGCTCTCTTGTCAGCAAATGTTATACGACAGATGAACAAAGACTGGATGATCCAAATAAAGGCACAGAGAGGCTATAAACTAGTATCACAGTTCATGGACTAGAACAGATCCTGATTTAGCCGCAGCTTGGTGTGGGCGACCGATCAGCTGAGAGGATTATTGTATGTGAATATCATTTGGATATGCGGAACACATGAATACTAAAGGATGTTTTGAATATTGAGTATCATTATCTTGACAGGATTTTAATTTAGTGCAACATACTTGACATCCGGAAAGTTATATGCAGGCACCTACCCCTGCATGCAGGTCCAGATTTTGTAATGAAACATAATTGCAATTTCGGTTTTTAACCCTCACCCTCTTGGCAGTGTGTGTTACATGCTAAAAAAGTAGGTTCCATAACCGTGTACCATTGGGACACCGATATTTCAGATTCAATTTACGTTTGTTATATGCTAATAAGTACAGCACAAAGGAACTATGGAAGTTTTCAGTAGGGGTGCCCTCTATCGCACTTTCTCTCTCTCTCTCTCTCACACTCTTTATCTATATCTGTCACTTTCGGTCTCTCTCTGATAGCCACTCTTTCTAGTTCCTTTGGACACATGCGACTTTCATTAAGCGATAACAAATGAAATCAACGTCAGTCTTTGAGTCAGCGACTCACTATTTGCAATTATTCACACACACACACTAACGCACACGCACACACACACACACGCGTGTGTGTGAAAATATACGTATATATGTAGGTGCGTGTATATCTATCAATCTATCCATATGCACATACACATCTAC